TAACTCGTGTGAAGGTTCGAACTCGACCTTGAGTGAGAGCGAAATAAGTTGGTTCGAACTCGACCTCTATTTAGCATACAACATAAAATGATGCGGAACTAAGAGAATATGAGTTGAACAGAATGAGTCATTTTATTGATTGTGTAAGTGTGCCTCGTTAAAAACCCTCTCAGCCAAAACCCATTTTTCTGTTTTTTGGGATAAAAGACTGAGGCAGGAAAAGAGTGCACAACTCATTCGTACAAAATTAGCTGAAATAAAACTTGAGATGCGTAGCATTTCAAGTTCGCGGTACAGGTTTTCCGCTGAGCTCTTCTAGGCGGTATGCTCCATTTTCCAAGTCTTCTGTCACTCGGAATGGGCCAATCCAAGTAGGTGCAAACTTCCCTTTTGACGTGTCTTTCCGTGCTTCGCCTAGCAATCGCCATACCAAGTCGCCAACTCGGAAAGAGCGAGGTCGCACTCGCGTGTTGTATCTTCGGGAAGCCCGGAGTTTGCAGGCTTCTTCGTGGATTTGAGCTTCGTCTCTGAGCTCGTCGACCAAGTCGAGGTCAGTTGCTAACTCTTGAGCGTTTTGTTCACTGTTAAAAACTTGGCGTCGGTGGGACATCTCTCCGACCTCCACTGGGATCATTGCGTCAGCTCCGTAGGTCAACCTATAAGGTGTCTCTTGCGTGGTTGACTGGGGGGTGCAATGATACGCCAGAGGATGCTTGGGAGCTCGTCAGCCCACTGTCCTTTGGCGTTCCCTAGCCGCTTCTTAAGTTCCCGGAGGATGACCTTGTTGGCTGCTTCCCTTTGGCCATTGATCTGGGGGTGTTCCACCGAGGTCGGGAGATGCTTGATACCGAGGTCGCAGAGGAAGTCCTCGAATCCCTGTGCGACGAATTGCCAGCCGTTGTCAGTAACGAGGGTGTGAGGGATTCCGAATCTGCAAATAATACTCCTCCAGGTGAACCTAAACTAATTTGATCGTCAGAGTCTTTTTTGCAAATATCCGATCTTATCCACCGATCAAGGCCCAATGTGTCACCAATCAACCCTATCACATCACCTCAGTTGCTATAGCCAACATGCGATAGGGAGATGATGAATCTTTATGAAAGTTTATGGAATGCTTCGCTAGTGTATCCATTAATAAAATTTGTAAGTTGTTCTTCATCCCATGTTCATGACACTTAAACTACGACCATTTGTCAATAGTTTATGCGATAGACAACTTGTTAATGTGGATGAACTTTGTGCAAGGGTGGTTGAATACATTCAAATGGAAGAACAGGTTGGATTTTGAGATATAGTTAGAGGAAGTATGTCTAGTAGAGGAAAAGCTCTTGATATTTATAAGAGAAATTTTTAATCCCCAATTGAAGCATCACTTAATGAGGAGATGCATCACTTAATGAGAAAGTGTATTTTAAGAACATGTTTTGAAACAATTTGCTAGAAACGAAAAGACTAAAATGAAATGATTTGATGAAATTGAAGAAATACCCCGTCATCACGACTGGAGTGAGTACAAACATGCTCACAATGAAAGGGTAAGACAAAAATACACCTCTTAATTATTAGTTTCGTTGAAATTTGTAAAACCCTATCATTACAGTAAATAAATGAATAAAGATAAATTGTAACATAATTCATTTCATTTAAATGCATTTTCAGCTTATTCATCTCACTGAGATTTTGAGCTCAAGGGGCTTATGTACTACCCAAGCTAATATAAACTTGGTAGTTTATGTATAAACTCATAAATTTAGGCAAACTTTAGAGGTTAACCTTGCTGGTTATCCTTGATTATACTAACTTAAGCAATTCAATTCAATTAGGAGGTTGGACAAAAAAAGGTAAATACATAAGATTAAACAAATATATGTTGGATAATCTAGATTAATTTGATCATCAAAGTCTTTTTTGTAAGTGCCCGACCTTACCCACCTATAAGAGACTAAAAGATTGACTAAAACATAAGAAGGAGATCTGAAGAAGTTGGAGATGTACACCTCAGACATTGAGATCTTAGCCATTTTAGGGTAAGAACATGTGTCATTTTATATTCATGAATACTTACATATATACTTTTAATCCATACAAATAACTATGAAATATTGTTTAATTTTTATATTTATATAAACAAATTGTATATGTTTTATGTCGTAACAATTAACATTTTTTGATGAAAAAAATTATTGAGATGAATTATGATCAAGGAACTTTACAATACATTTATACAAAAGGGGAAAAGAATAAACATTAAAAAGTACTATAAATAATGACATATACACAAATCCTTGATATTTACAATCACTTCAACAACACTCATCATTTTTTACCAACATTAGTTGACATAAGTGTCAGCGACTTGTATCTCTTAACCAAATCATTCAATATGACATAAATTATATTGAAAGAAAAATATCCACTTAGTATGCACTTATGGTTTCTGATAAAAACTAGTCACTATTTTTGACAGTAAATACTCCATACCTTATTACAAAGTTGAGTGGTCTAATGTCTCAAAGGTGCAAACGAAATATTTAACAATCAAATTGATTAGTTAATTATATTTGAGAAGCTAAGGGACCATTGTGAGGGAAATGAACTTTTATCTTTAAATTGATTTTCATTAAATAATTAAACCTTGTATTTACTTTTAAAAAGTATTAACGAAGAATAGTTTTATGAATTTGGATATGGAATGAAAAGTATCTTTCTTAGAGTAACTCTAATGTGATTTCTGTTCTTTAATTATATTATACCTATATCATGGTTAAAAAAAAAAACTCAACATTTTTATTTATTCTTTTCTTATCATTTAATATAAGTTACTAAACCAAAATTCTCAGAGTTGGTATTAAATAATAGTGGTTGTACAACATTTTCCTATCTATATAATAAAACATCAACTTCGATCGTATCAGGGTCAGGGTTTCCTTTTTTAAAGAGTCAAACTTAAGCCAAAGATACGACACTAATGCAAACTGTACCAAAAGGGAAAGAAAATCTAAGCACGAGTTTGTTTAAAGAAAAAATAAGTAGAAAAGCTTAGATTAGATTAAGAAGTGGATGGGTTCACGCATACCAAGTGAATAAAGGAGCAGAGAGATGAAAATCAATAAAAATTTAAAGTCAAAAATAGTAACCGAAGAAGCCTTTACAGCACATACGCACACGATACATTGCAGCAACCATACATATCACAGTTCTTTAGACTCGCAGCTCCCTAAAGTTATCACTTATCAGACTCGTCACATGCCGTTAATATAAAATAAAAATAAATAAATACATAATGTTAACGACACATGAAAAAAAGAGAGTCTAATTGCGTTATTTTAAACAAACATAAAGGCATTACCGTCATTGCATGCGACAAGGTTAATTTATGATTTTTATCCATAGTCTCGAGCTGCGTGACTATTTTTTTTTTAAAATTTATTATTAATATAATTTTTTACATACTTTCTATAATCTTATTGTTTTTCACATCAATTATCTATTGTCTTCATTTCAACTTATTCTATAAAAAGTTATATAAATATGATTTTTATTTTCTTTATTTTAGTTGATATAGAAAAAATATCAATTGAGACTATTTTATGGAAATTTTTATTGATCAATGCTTATGAAAATGATAATTTCATTTTTAAATATTTAGACAAAACATGATTAAAAATAGTAAAAACGTGATCATTATAATTCTTATATAAAATTTTAAAAGTGACAGATATTTTTATAATTATTAATTTAAAACAAATAAAACTTCATTAAAGTGTGTAAATGAGGAAAATAGGTAAAAAAAAAACTTGCAATTAAATAGTGTGTTGAAATATATATA